ACCACTGAGGAAAGTTGGGACAGGAACTGAAACAGCAGCCATGGACGAACGCTACTTACTGGCATGCTCCACATTGCTTGCTCAGTCTGCTTTCTTGTACACTACCTGCCCACAGGGGTGGCACTGCCCACAGTGCACTGGGCCCTCATGCATCAGTCATTACTCAACAAGTGCCCTACAGACAGGCCCGCAGGCCAATTGGATTAAGGCATTTTCTCAATCGAGGGGTCCCTCTCTCCAGGTAATTCTAGGCTCATCAAGTTGACAAGGAAAAATTAAAACGGGAACAGTAGGTAGATATGGCTGTTCTCAGGAAACTATAATGAAGCATCAAACCTGTGTTTGAGGCTGTCTGATATTCCTCTAGACCAGCAGTTCTCAATTTGTGGGTTGTAACCCTTTGGGGGTCAAATGACCCTTTCATGTGTGTCACCTACAGATAATCCTACATATCAGATATTTATATTGTGATTCATAACACTAGTAACATTACAGTTATGAAGTAGCAATGAAAACAGTTTAATGGTTGGAGAGTCACTAGAACATGAAGTACTATATTAAAATATAAAGGGCCATCGCATTAGGAATGTTGAGAATCACTGTTCTCAATGGAGCTCTCCACAGCAGAATTGCTTAATGTCCTGTTTCTAAGATCTCTGGCACATTGAGGGGTACTGTAAAATTAAAGGCAAATAGAGCTGAGGAAGTGCCTTAGTCAGCAGAATGTTTGTCTAGCATGCAGTAAGCCAGCATTCATGAAAACTATGTGAGGACACAAGCCTTGAATCCTAGCACTTGGAAAGTGGAGGCAGGTTGATCTGAATGTAAAGGTCAGTGGGCCAGCTGCTCCTGAAGATGACCAGAGTTGGATTCCTTGCCTGTAACTTCACCTCCCACAATCCAGTGCACTCTGCTGGTCTCCATGGGCATCTGAATGCACAGGCACACAGAAATCTTTAAGAATGAGGACCCTTGGTAAGATGCTCAAATCTTCATTCAGAAAGGTTAACGGGATAGACATCGGAAGGCAGCAAAAACAAGGAACAAGACAGGAGCTTACCACAGAGAGACTCTGAAATACTCTACCCAGTAGGGTATTAAAGCTGAGACTCATAGCCAAACTTTGGACAGAGTGCAGGGAATCTTATGAAAGAAGGGGGAGATAGAAAGACCTGGAAGGGTCTGGAGTTCCACAAGGAGAAAACAACAGAACCAAAAAATCTGGGCCCAGGGGTCTTTTCTGAAACTGATACTCCAATCAAAGACCGTGCATGGAGATAACCTAGAATTCCTGCACAGACATAGGTCATGGCAGCTCAGTCTCCAAATGAGCTTTCTATTAAGGGGAACAGGGCTGTCTCATACATGAACTCAGTGGCTGGCTCTTTGATCACATCTGCCTGAGGTGGGAGGTGGGGGGAGGAGGGAGGGCAGCCTTACCAGGCCACAGAGGAAGACTATGAAGAACAGTCCTGATGAGACCTGATAGGCTAGGGTCAGATGGAAGGGGAGGAGGTCCTCCCCTATCAGTGGAGTGGGGAAGGGCATGGGATGAGATGAGGGAGGGGGGGGGTCACGATTGGGAGGGGACGTGGTGGGGGCTACAGCTAGGATAAAAAGTGAATAAATTGTAATAAATTTTTTAAAAAGAGTAAAAAAACAAAAGTTGTTCAGGGTCACCTTTAGCTACACAGTGAATTTGAGACCAGTAAGGGATAAATTCAACCCCATCTAAGTTAAGAGAAAACCTTAACTGACAGAGGTAGCACAGGGCTGTGCTCCCAGCACTTGAGAAGTGAAGGCTGTGTGAGACTCTGTCTCAGCAACAAACTGTATGCAAATAGTTACAGCTTTGAGAGCTGGCTAGAAGGGAGAGGGGAGAATTATTAATGAAATATGATTAATAATTAAATGTGACTACATTCCTTCTCTTTCTCTCTCTCTCCCCCTCTTCTTCTGTAGGTTTAAGAGTGCACAGGTAGCATCCGGCCTGCAATATCTCTGGATGGCCCTTATTAGAAACCAGAACTTAAAACACCTCAATCTAGGAAACACTCCCATGAAGGAAGATGACATCAAATTAGCCTGTGAAGCACTGAATCATCCAAACTGCTCCTTGGAGACTCTGAAGTGAGCTTTAGCTGTAATTTCAGCATGTGACTTTTCCTTTAAACTTCAGAATAATTTCCAGGAAGCTGCAAAAATTGGGTGGGTCACAACCCCTTTGGGGGTCGAATGACCCTTTCACAGGGTTGCATATAAGATAAACTGTGTATCAGATATTTATATTATAATTAATAATGGTAATAGTCATGAAATAGCAATAAAATTTTATGTTTGGGATCACCTCAACATGAGGTATTCCATTAAAGGGTTGCAGCATTTGAAAGGTTGAGAACAACTGCTCTAGAGAATTAGGTGGAGAAGTTCTTGAGAAGGGGAGCAATAGTTATTTGGCAATGCTATGAGTGGTAATGGAGCAGGAACTGGGGGGAAAGAATGGGCTACATGCTAGCAAATTGAGCATTTTAAACAGTTTAAGGCATAAATATTGTACCACAATAAAACACTCTCCATGTTCTGTGAAAATTAAAAACAGGACCAGTGAGATGGCCCAGGGGATGAAGGGGTTTGCCACCAAGCCTGGTGACCTGAGTTCAATCCCCAGAACACACACAGTAGAGAGAGAAAAATGACTCCAAAAGTTGTCTCTTGACTTCCGTGTGCCCATTATGGCACTTGTGCACACACATGTTCAGTAAATAAATATAAAAAATTATTAAAAACAAGTACTGCATATTGAAAAGGGTAGTGTGTACCTGTAATCCAGCACTATGGTTGCTGAGTCAGGGGGATGGCAAGTTTGAGGCCAACATGGTTAGCCTAGCAAGATCCTGTCTTCAGAAAAAATGGGGGAGTGCAGTCCAGACCTGTCACTTGGTTGGTAACATGCTTGTAGAGCATGCAGGAATAGCTGGGTTTGGTCCCCCATCACTGCACAAAGCCAATCATTGTTCTCAAACCTGTAATCCCAGCTCTTAGGAGGTAGAGGCAGGAGGGGCAGAAGTTCAAGACCATCCTTAGCTATTTAGCAATTTGGATAACCTGGACTCCATGAGGCCTTGTCTCAAAAATAAAGGGATTACATGTAACCTCAGGAAGTTTCTTTGAATGGTTATGTAACTACGGTGAGCTTTCTAAATGTGAACTGTTATAGGCCATCTTATGAAGCATTTCCAAGTCATGTTGAGGAGTTGGCCCTGTTTTTGAATTAGATTTTATTGTGTGTGTGTGTACACACGCACGTGTGCATGCATATATACATACCACAGCATGTGTTCAGCCAAAGAACAACCTGTAGGAATGGATTATCTCCTACTACCGAATGGGTATTGGGATCGAACTCAGGTGTTCAGTCTTGGTGGCAAGCACCTTTACCCACTGAGCATTCTTTTTTTTTTTTTTAAGATTTATTTATTATTTATATAATGTTCTGCCCACACACCAGAAGAGGGACCATATCTCACTGTAGATGGTTATAAGCCACCATGTGGTTGCTGGGAATTGAACTCAGGACCTTTGGAAGAACAGTCAGTGTTCTTAACCTCTGAGCCATCTCCCCCCCACCGACTGAGCATTCTTACCAGTCCAGTTTTTATTTTTCTTTAGCAAACATAAATAGGTTCTTGTATCTATGGGGGTGTTGCATGGCTAACATGTTGATGGACTACTATAAGGAAAAGAGGAAGTAAAACTATTTGAGAAAAGACGACTCTGGTTCCTAAGGAGCTGAGTGTGGAGTGTGTTACCCTGAGTTACCCAAGAGGGACAAGGAAAAATACTGTGCTGCCTGTCTCTACAGATTGGATTCCTGTGAGCTAACCTACCCTTGTTATGAAATGCTCTCCAAAATACTTCATTCAGCCACCAGACTGAAATCTCTCAGCCTGGCAAAAAATAAGGTGGAAGAAAAGAGCATGAGGTCTCTCAGTGTCACCTTGAGTAGCTCGAAGTGTACGCTGGAAAAGCTAATGTGAGTCTTGCTTCCTTTCGCCCCATGATGATTGTGCTGTATAGAGATGTCCAAGGGATTGTGGGAGTGGCAGATGTTTAAGTCCAGAATGAGGATGGTACCTCTGGCCTCATGGGGAACCCTGTTCATTCTCTCACAGCAGCCCTTCTGTTGAAAGGGAGCCCAATGGGAGTCTGCTAAAGACCTCTGTACTGGCAAAGATCCTTTGGAACATGACATGAGCCAAGTGGGTTAGTTCACACTTGACTCTACAGTTAGAAAGATCCACTCATTGGCCAAGCCCAAAACAGCCCATATACATGGTTGACACAGGGTATAGTTTTATATAGCTGTAATGTCAGCACCCAGGAGGCTAAGACAAAATGATCATAGTAAGCCTGAAGTTAGCCTGGCCTAGGGAATGAGATCTTGTATACACACACACACACACACACACACACACACACACACACACACACACGTGCTGGGGATGTGGTTCTTCAGGTAAAGAACACATTGTGCAAGGATGAGGGAGCAGAGTTCAGATCACCAGAATTCCTGCAAATAGTAGATGGGTTGGTAGGTTACAACACTGCACTAAGGAAGCAGAAATAGGATCTCCAGAACAAGCTGGCTTGCCCGACTAGACAAAGCTTTGGTAAGCTTTGGGTTCACTGAGATACCCTGTGTCAATACAGAAAGATAAAGATTGATTCAGGAAGATGCCCAGTGTCTACCTCAGGTCTCCACAAACATGTGTGCATAGACATTTACACCTGCACACATGTGTATATACACACACAATATACAGTCTACATACATGCACTCACTATACATGCCAAAAAGAGGAGGAGGGTCCTAACAGAATGTCATCTGAAATGCCAGATAGCTCTGACCTCTTGTGGAGACAAAGGAGCCAACAAAAGAGGCCAGTCTAAGAATGTTGTTTTATAGACAAACTTCTACATGGAAACTTGGGGGGGGGGGGGTTCCATGTCCCTTACCAATAGTCCAAAGGAAAGGTCAGTTGTTATTGGTCAAACTATCCTGTTATAAAAAGGAGAGTAATGAGGTAAAAATTTTAGAAACCATTATTTAAATCATAATGAGATTTACTAGCTTTTGTCAGTGCCTGCCTTACTTCCTTCTCCAAACATGTCTATGGAGTGGCCACTGTCTTTAGTTTCATTGGTAAATGAGGAGGTAGTTTTGGGCTAAATCACTCATTCATGGATAAACTATTATCATTGGCCAAATGGGAAAGCAAACCTATGGTCCCTGCTCAGAGCTATGTGCTGGCACCTGTCTAGCTTATTAAGTTAAGTCACTGGAAACACTGAGAACCAAATCATATAAATCATCCTTTAAAGGCCAGAGGCAAGACTGGAAAGATGGCTCCGAAATTAACAGGACTTGTTGCTCTAGTAGAGGACCTGGATTTGATACCAGGCCACTCATATTAGATGGATCACAAACTCCAGCTTCAAGGGCTTCAACGCCCTCTTCTGACCTCTGCAGGGACTGCACCAGCATACACCTATACATAGAAATAAAAATCTTAAAGGCCAGAAACAGCAGCAATTACAAAGATGTCGATATGGTTGCTAGACATTGGTCCAATCCATGGTGTTTCTTTATTCACCAGAAGAGTAAATTCAGTATCAACCTTAGTGATTCTCCAGATTATGTTGTTAGAGTGGTCACAGCCCTATGAAAGCCCTATAAAGCTTTTGTTTTCACATCTGGCAGCTTTCCTTTTTATGGATAAGTATGAGGTAATCAAATAGATTACACATTGTCAAATATATGTCAGTTATGTCAAAATATATAATTAAATAGATTACATAATCTATTCTTACACACAGGATTTTCCCCCTTGCATTCATAATGGTGTGCTTTAAGAGGGAGAACAAAGACAAAACATAAGCCAATGAGATGGTTCAGCAGGTAAAGATGCTTGCTGCGAAGCCTGACAACCTGAATTAGATCCCCAGGACACGTATAATTGCCACAAGTTGTCCTGACCGTCACAAACATGCCATGGCACACGTGCCCACACACATAAAGACAAAACCTTGTAAGGAGTGAGAGGAGAAGAGGTAAATTTTAAAATTACTTGGTTTTTGTATGTGTACACTAAGATTTGCTTTAGTTTGTAGGTATCTTCATATTGGTGCAATACCTAAGGAGGACAATATAGGTTCTGGGGACTGAAGTTAAATTCTCTGGGAAAAAAGCAAGCGCTCTTAAACCATTGAGCCATCCCTGCAGACACCATACACGTGTATACTGTGTATGTTCAGCATACTTACAGTCATACGCCCATATAGCCATAGTCTCCTTGTTCTCACCCATATTCTCACCCTCTCTTCTCTATTCTCCTGGACATTTCTATTTTCATACATTCATTCATACACAATTGTAGGAGTCTACATAAATTCTTGGGTTGTCTGGGGAGATTGCCACCAAGCCTTGGTGATCTTAGCCTAGTTCTTGAACCCACATAGTAAAAGGAGTAAACGGACTACTTTCAGTTGCCTTCTAACACACATGTGTACATACACATGCACCCACACATGCACACCGGGCACCCCCATATATGCACATAGTAAAGTGTAACTTTAAAAAGTGTGTGTCTGGAGAGATGGCTCAGCAGTTATGAACACTTGTTGCTCTTCCAGAGTTCCCAATACCCACATCGAGTGGCTCACAATCGGCTGTAACTCCAGCTCCAGAGAATCCAATGCCCTCTTCTGGTCTTTTTGGACACACACATAACATCCACATAGATACAGATAGACATGCATGTATACAAAGAAATAAACATTTTAAAATAATAAAAATATAAATATTTAAATCTAAAAACCACAAACGTTATTGGCTTAATTCGTTTAATATGCTTGTTTCTGGACAAGCATTTTCCTACAAATGACATAACTTCATCCTTCTTTATTGGTGAAAAATATTCCATTAACTACATATACGTTTTCCACATCGAGTTCATGGGTTAGCTGTCGTGAGTAGTGCTGTAATAAATGTTGGTGTGTGAGTTTGGAGGAGGAAAACTTAAGAATGGACCTCATTGTTTCCTCTGTTGGGGGGCTTTCCTTGCAGACTGGACAGCTGTGACCTCACACCTTTCAGCTGCTACATTCTGGTCTCAGCCCTTTTCAGCAACCAGACCCTGACTCACCTGTGTCTGTCAAACAACCAAATGAAGACTGAACAAGTGAGAGTGCTGTGTCAGTTTATGAGACGTCCGGAATGCGCTCTCCAGCGGCTGATGTGAGTTTAGTTCATTTCTTTGGGAGAACATCACAGCTTTCAACCTCATAGGAGTATCAGTTCTAATAGGGAGTTGGGGAGGTGGAGATGAGAGTGATGGTATGTGGTAGGAACAGCATCCTTCATTGTGTTTGTTACTTTTCTATTGCTGTGATGCAACATTGACAAAACGTAACCTAAAGGGGGGGAGGGCAGTGGTTTTAGCTTATGATTCCAGAGGGATAGATTCCACCGTGGTGTGGGGGAAACTTGGCAAAGTCAGGAAAAACAAAATGGCAGGACCAGAAAGCTGATGAATACATTTTTATGCACACATAAGAAGCAGAACAGGTAAGATAAGGCTGTAAACCCTCACAGCCCACACCCATGGACATGCTTCCTCCAGTAAGGCTCCGCCTTCCTAAAGAGTACCACCAAGTGGGAACCAAGTGTTTAAACACAGGAACCTCAGGGGGGACATTTCAGAGTCAACCTACCACACCCAGCATGTTTGCACCTCTGGTCCTGTGACCCTCATTAGTACAAACACCTTCTTGTTATTGCTACTTGTACATATGTTTTTAAGATGACTCTAGGCTTTAATTACATTATTATTTATATACAGGGTGGGGATGGATGCCTCAGCACACACATGTAGGTCAGAGGACAACTTGCAGGAGTTGGTCCTCTATTCCACCCAGGGATCAAACTCAAATCATTAGGCTTAGCTGAAAGTGCCTTTACCCACTGAGCCATTTCACCAGCCCTCAAGATTTTTTTTTCTAAATGCAACCTTGTTTTTTTAGATTTATGTGTATATGTGTGTGGGAATGGTTAAGAGGGTGTATACATGTATTCAAGTGTGTATGCACATGGATGTGGAAGCCAAAGGTTGCTTTGGTGTCTTCTTCAATAACTCCCCATCTAATATATTAAGGTAGAGTCTCTAGCTGGAACCCAGCTAGCTCAGCGGATCTCCTATGTCTTCCTTACAACCACTGAGATTACTTGAGGGTCACTAAGTCTGCCCTGCATTTATGTGGATACCTGGAATGTGAACTCGGGTCCTCATGCTTACAGAACAACTCTACCCAGTGATCTTACGGTGCGTGCACGCATGCGTGCATGTGTGTGTGTAGGTATAAAATGGTGTGTTCACATTTTCCTGCACACTCTAAACCTTACTGTTGATACCCAGTGAAGTAGAAATGGCATGTAGCCATTATATTCTGTTACTTAACATGGACCACCCCCCAGAAAAAAATGTGTACATGTTTATTCATTTTGGGCACAGCATTTTTTTTTCTGAGGCAGAATTTGTTGAATGCCTGGGTGTAGAACCTATGCTTGTGGGTAGCTATCTGTACTGAGCCCTGTCCCTGTTTGTCTCATTTTCCTTTACCCCTGGAAATCTACCTCTCCAACTTTGTTTTCTCGGAGTGGAAAGGGTTCCTTCAAATATAGTGGAGCTGCATTCTATCAGTACCCTCAACTGACCAGTTTGGAGATGTCATGGGATTTTCTTCCTGGGAAGCTTTGATCACACTTTCATCAGCCGCTCCACTCTCAGATTTATTTTTTTGTGTTCTTCCACATACCAAAGCTTCCTTTAAAGTCTACTGTTGGTTCGTTAACCTTGAATTTGGACAGTGCTACTGTGGCTTGCGCCAGAATAAGCATCACCTAGCATATCCTGGGGAAAATCACAGCCCCCTGATGATTAGCAGTACTACACATTACTTTTGTTTTGTTTTTCTCTGTGTAACAAGCCCTGGCTGTCTTGGACTCACTCTGAAGACCAGGCTGGCCTTGAACTCATAGAGATCCACCTGCCTCTGCCTCCCAGAGTGCGGGTTTTAAAGGCGTGCACCACCATGCCCAGCTGCATATCACTTTTTATTTAGGGTATGTGGGAGGTGAACTTTCATGTGTGAAACACTTATCCATCTGAGTACACTTGCATGCCACACTGAGGACAACCTTACCTGTTGATTCTTACCTTCCACCTTCTTGAGACAGATCTCTTCTTGTAAGCATATGCCAGGCTAGCCAAATC